ATTACTAATACAAGAAAAAACATCTTTCTCAATGTAAACAACCAAGCTACCACTCAACCATTGATTCCCTATTTTGTTACGCAATGGTGTTTTCACAATATTCATAGCTGAAAAAGCTCTCTCAACTGAAGCTGTTGCAACGGGTAAAACTAAAGCCAATGTAAGAAGTAAATATACATAGTTGTATATTCTACTCCTTCATGTATTCACCAATTTTTCTGCCAAATCAGTAATTCCTTTCAATGATGAAAACTCAATGCTGCTTTGCATATCAACAATATAAAGCCCAAGTTGATCTTCAAGCTTCATGAGGTCTCGGTCATTAAATTCTTGAGGGTAAAATTGAGTAAAACGAAGTATTTGTTGTTTGTCAAAAGCTGCAAAATTATAAGCTGGACTCAAACATGCCATACAAAGAAGCAATTCAGTATTTACCTCAGTGAAGCAATTATTCAATTCTACTAGTTGCTTATCAATGATAGTAAGAAATAGGTCCACATGATAATAATGACGGTTTGTGATTTTCTGAGCTTTACGACGTGATCTCCCTTGTGGTACAAATAAATCATCCATGTTAGGAACATCAATATCATTGTTGCCACAAAATATTGATACTTTGCCAAGTAAATCATCAAAGTCATCATCCCTCATGGATTGTAGCTTTTGCTTACATCTTTGGACCAACATCATTGCATTCACAATATCTTGATCTTTCTTTTGTAATGCCTTTGACAAATCATTTGTGATTCCTAATATAAATCTCATCAAATATAGGTGAAACACAAAGTCAAAAGTTTGTATTTCTTTCAATAACCTATTTGCTTCACCTAAATTATCTTAGTTGATATCATCAACAATCCATTCAAGCACCTTTACCACGGGATGAAACATAGTATTAATACTCAGTAAAGTATCATAATGTGAGTTCCAACGTGTATCACAAGGACGTTTGAGAGTAGTCTCTTGATTTAACCCTTGCCCTGTTTTAAGATCATCAATTTCAAGAGCTTTCATAATATCTTTTTGTTGTTCACGGCTACAAGAGCTAGTTGTAGTTGATGTGCAAAACAATGGACATAATATGCCTGAGGATATTCTCTCAAAATCTATGTTTTAAGACCATTGAGCTCACCTCTCATATTACTAGCACCATCATACCCCTGTCCTCGTAGCCTGGACATGCTCAAATTTGTTGAAGAAATCAACTGCTCAATTGCCTCTTTCAATTTGCTACTAGTCGTATCAGAGACATATTGGATACCCACAAACCTTTCAATAACTTGCCCTTTTTTGTTCACATAACGCAACACCACCGCCATTTGCTCTCTTATTGAAACATCACGTGATTCAACTACCAATATAGAAAAGAATGCATCGTCTATATCCCTAATAATTGCATCAATGGTTTCAGCATCACAAGAATTAACAAGTTCTTTTTGAATGTTAGGAGCAATATACTTGAGATTCCCTGGAGCATTCTCAAACACAACGGCACGAACTTTCTCATCATGATCGGCAAGAAATTGCAAAAGCTCCACATAATTACCCTTATTGCTAGATGTTTCGCTTTCATCATGGCCACGAAAAGGAAGACCTTGTCTAGTGCAATCAAGTGCGGTAGTTAATAGAATGCGATAATTAACACGAGCTTGGTCTGTCTGCTTAATCACAATGGTTTCAACGTGTTGCTTTTGATTCATTAAATCTGTACAATGTTGTGTAGCTTTATTGTGAAGGCTTCCAACTTGTCCAACATGGTCCCTAAAATTATCAGGTTCCTTCCTCCACTTTTTAAACTCTTTCTCAGTGAAGACATCGCTTCCAGCCTTTCCTTGTTTATCAAAGTCGCATTTAAAAAGATAACAATGAAGACAAAATGCAGCATCTTTCTCTTTATTATACTCTAACCAAACAAATGAATCAAACCATTTCATAAGAAAACGTTGATTACTCTCCCTCATAAGTGTTTGAGGCATATCGTTTTGGCTTTTAGGCTAACAAGGACCCCTTTGCAGATAAGCTCTTCGGATTTGTTCTCGAAAATTGGGATTATAATAAGTCATTGGAGGTCTAAGGCTAGGGTCTGCAGGAAGATTAGCTAATATTTCATCCAACTCAGTAGGCGGATTATTTGAAGGTTGATTTGAACTAGCCAGATTATTTGAAGGAGGGTTGGAACTAGCCGGATTATTTGAAGGAGGGTTGGAACTAGCCGGATTATTTGAAGGAGGGTTGGAACTAGACAGATGATTCGAAGGAGGATTTGAACTACCCAGATTATTTGAAGGAAGATTTAAACTCTTTCTCTAAAAGTACCGTTCCATAACTGTACAATTGAAACAACATAAGGGTTTTATATCTATTATTATGACTAATTGACTATAATTTATCAAATAAATAAATAAATAATTATCAAATTATCAATTAAATAAATAAATAAAAATTAATTATACCTCGAATAACGTGTCACGTAGCCTCTTTCTCCTCGAGTTTGCTACTGATCTTAGTAATATAGAGAGAGCTAAATAAGAAAAAAAAAATTATTAAAAAAAGAATAAACAAAATTGGTGTTTGGTCAAGAAAAAAAAAAAAGCATTCGACTTACTCTGGATTGGCATACTTAATAAGAAAAAAAATTGCAGGATTCTTGTGATGCACACACACTTTGATGAAATTGGGTGATATTATTGGTCTTTTATAAAGAGAATTCCCAATTCTACTTAATTAAGGAATTCCCAACTCTATTTAATTAAGGAATTCTCAAAACCCAATTGTATAAAGAGAACTTTCAATTAAAACCCAATTAAGTAAGGAAATAGAAGCCCTTTTTCAAAAGCCCACAAAAAGCCCACGTCAGTTTCCCTTTGTTTCTTTTTTTTTTTTAAATTTCAAAACCCTGGTCCAAAACGATGTCGTTTTGGCCAGGTTTTTCAAAAAAAAAAAAAAAGCCAGGCCATT